AGTTTTCATCTAAATATTCTGGAAATTTGTCAAGAATGTTGTTTTTGGGATGATATCAAATCAAGTTCGAAGAATGGGGTCCATGTCCCGGTCAAAAAACTTTGGTCACAGGACTAAAAAATAGAAAGAGTTTGTTAACACTCTATAGGCTGGGCAGTTTTTCATACCAAATATTCTGGAAAATTTTTGTCAAGGAAAGGTTGTTTAATTTCATATCTAGGTCCAAGTTTGAAGATGGAATCATGTCCGGTCAAAAACCTAAGGTCACAAGGAGAATAAAAATAAAAAAGCTTGTTAACAACTCTAGTGGCTCAGTTTTCATCCAAATATTTTTGGAAATTTTGGTCAGGAAGGTTGTTTTTGATGATATCTAGGGTCAAGTTCGATGATGGGTCATCTCCGGTCAAAAACTAGGGTCACAGGAGCTAAAAATAGAAAAAAGCTTGTTAACACTCTAGGGGCTGCAGTTTTCATCCAAATATTCTGGAAATTTTGTCAGGAAGGTTGCTTAGATAATATCTAGGTCAAGTTCGATGATGGGTCATCTCCGGTCAAAAACTAGGTCACAGGAGCTAAAAATAGAAAAAGCTTGTTTAACAACTAGTGGCTGCAGTTTTCATCCAAATATTCTAGGAAATTTGTCAGGAAGGTTGTTTTTGATGATATCTAGGCCACGTTGGAAGATGGGTTCATCTCCGGTCAAAACTAGGTCACAGGAGCTAAAAATAGAAAAAGCTTGTTAACACTCTAGTGGCTGCAGTTTTCATCTAAATATTCTGGAAATTTGTCAAGAATGTTGTTTTTGATGATATCTAAATCAAGTTTCGAAGATGGGTCATGTCCGGTCAAAAAAAACTTGGTCACAGGTGCTAAAAATAGAAAAAGCTTGTTAACACTCTAGGGGCTGCAGTTTTCATCCAAATATTTTGGAAATTTGTCAGGAAGGTTGTTTTGATGATTTTTAGGTCAAGTTTGAAGATGGGTTATCTCCGGTCAAAATCTAGGTGACAGGAGCTAAAAATAGAAAAAGCTTGTTAACACTCTAGTGGCTGCAGTTTTGATTAAAATATTCTGGAAATTTGTCAGAAAGGTTGTTTTGATGATTTCTAGGTCAAGTTCGAAGATGGGTCATCTCAGGTCAAAAACTAGGTCACAGGAGCTAAAAATAGAAAAAAGCTTGTGTACACTCTAGTGGCTGCAGTTTTCATCTAAATATTCTTGAAATTTGTCAAGAAGGTTGTTTTGATGATATCTAAGTCAAGTTGGAAGATGGGTCTTCTCCAGTCAAAAAATTAAGTCACAGGAGCTAAAAATAGAAAAGCTTGTTAACGCATTTGGGCTGCAGTTTTCATCCAAATATTCTTGAAATTTGTCAGGAAGGTTGTTTTGATGATTTCTAGGTCAAGTTCGAAGATGGGTATCTCCGGTCAAAAAACTAGGTCACAGGAGCTAAGAATAGAAAAAGCTTGTTAACACTCTAGTGGCTGCAGTATTGATTCAAATATTCTGGAAATTTGTCAGGAAGGTTGTTTTGATGATTTCTAGGTCAAGTTCGAAGATGGGTCATCTCAGGTCAAAAAACTAGGTCACAGGAGCTAAAAATAGAAAAAGCTTGTTTACACTCTAGTGGCTGCAGTTTTGATTCAAATATTCTGGAAATTTGTCAAGAATGTTGTTTTGATGTTTTCTGGGTCAAGTGCTAAGATTTGGTCATGTCCGGTCAAAAACTAGGTCACAGGAGGTAAAAATAAAAAATCTTTTTAACTCTCTAGTGGCTGCAGTTTTGATCCAAATTTCCTGGAAATTGGTCGGGAAAGGTTTTTTGTTTAAACACACTAATTAAAATGTTTGATTTCCAATCGCATCAAAATTTTCCCCAGATGTTTTGTTTTAAACATTTTGGTTTTGCTTTTTGGGGTTCAGGTGAGCGATCCGGGCCTCAGGGGCCCTTTTTATTTAGCTCAATTTTTGAGTTTAGCTCAGGGGTGTGTTTTTTTAAGGGAAACCGTTAATGTCCATCGAAATTTGCCCGGGGTTTTTTCCATATCGTCTTTCCGCCACATTTTTTTAGTTAACACCCCTAGTGGTCCCCTTTTTGGGAGCTAAAAAAAAGATAAATTTTGGTTTACACTAAGAGCTACTGTTTTTACCAAATTACCCTAAAATTTATTTTGAATTTTTTCTTGAGGGATTTCATTTAAAGATCAAATTTTGGGTCCCCCGGGGGAAAAAAAACTGGGTCAAAAGGGCCCAAAAATAGGGAAAAATCTTGTTTACCCTCTAGTGATCACAATTTTTAATTAATTGTCTTTAAACTTGGCCAGGATTCTTGTCTAAGTAATTGCTTTGATGAGTTTGATGGGTCAGATGAGCGATCTTGTTTTAACAACCAGTCTAAAATTTTCACATTCCATTGGCTGATTGGAATTTAATAAAATGACGTTGGCCAATCAGAACATTTACTGTATTATTTTGAGATTGCTTTAGGGAAAACTATCTTTATTGTACTGTTTTGATTTTTTAAGGTTTTTTATTAAGGAATTATGTACATTGTACATGTATGTTGTTTCCTTTCCATATAACATTTGCAAAAAGCAACTTTAAAAGTTATGAGAATTTGATAGCTATATTTTAATTTAGTTTGATAACTTGATAAACTTTCTTTACCTTTTTCCACCTTAATTTGTACCATGGACTTTTTCAACATCCATTTTTGATCATTAATTTTGGGGCCATCAAAAGTTAACTGTTTAGATAATTAGGTTTGATGAAACTTTTTATTTGTACCATAAATATAATTTTGTGTAGCAAATTTAAAAAAATAAATATGTTTAAATCATTAAGTAGGAAATCAAAATAATATTTGTTGAAAAACCAAAGATCTGTTATGTATATATTGCACTGTTTTCATTGTAAAGATGTTGGCGCTATGGTCTCGAAGTGTAAGTTAGTTGTGAATGTCACTTTGTTGTGTTTATAGCAACTTTGCTGTGTTTTAATACTTTGGGTTTCTGTTGAACATTGTCATGATCACCTTTCAACAGATTTCTTGTCATTGACCATTATATATTTAAAAGCTTGGCCGCATGTTATTAATCAAACAAGAAGTTATGCTTAAAGAAGCAGTTCATAAATGACAAATAATAGCATGCTTTTTACTTGCACATATGTTATTTTAGTTGTTATGATATAATATAATGTACATGTAAATGTACATTATTAGGGTGTATATTTATAAGTCGTAAAAGCTGGGCCTCACTATAAATGACATAACCATAAAAATGACCGTTAAATTATTATAGCAATAAAGAATAAGTGGACTTTGAATACATAGCCATACATAATGACTTAATCACTAGACCTGGCAAATCAAACAGAATGACTAAATCATCAAACCAACATACAGAATGATTTGATCACAAAATAGATAAATACAGGATCCCTAAAGAAAGCCCAACACGGCAAAAATGAAAATGTTGCAGGCTCGGTTTGATTGAGCCTGTTCATGGACGGTACTGAAAAGTGCAAGTTACCGTCCACGCCCCCTAGCACCGGCTTAAGCAGAATTCAACATTTAAACATGAAATAGTAAAATTTTGAATTTAGAAACATCCGCAGATGTGTTCATACGGCGGTTATCATGGAACCTTCAATGTGACACGTACTTCCGTGCTATTCCATGAAAAGCGGCGTATGGTCCCCAAGTAATAAAAAGCGTGTGCCCTAAACGAGAAAACAATGGGCAGAACTAAGTAAAATGGAATTTTGAAAGGGGATCAGAGGTAATAAAGCCTGCGTATCACAGATAAGACGTCAAAAGACAAATTTAAAAAGCAGGCCTCATATCCTAAGGGTGATTCAACATTATTCAAGTAGGAATATTGGAACCACCCAACTAGAAAATGCCGAAAAGTTGAAACTAAAAATACCACAAGCACAACAAATAAAGCGTGCTGAACGATCTTCAAGGATCGAAAATATAACATCATTGATTAAATGTACAGGGAGACTTTTTACAGCCGCCACACGGCACAAATAACGCGGATGTGATCATAAAATAGATAAATACAGAATCCGTAAAGAAAGCCCAACACGGCAAAAATGAAAATGTTGCAGGCTCGGTTTGATTGAGCCTGTTCATGGACGGTACTGAAAAGTGCAAGTTACCGTCCACGCCCCCTAGCACCGGCTTAAGCAGAATTCTACATTTAAACATGAAATAGTAAAATTTTGAATTTAGAAACATCCGCAGATGTGTTCATACGGCGGTTATCATGGAACCTTCAATGTGACACTTCTGTGCTATTCCATGAAAAGCACAAGAATAGCCATACATAATGACTTAATCACTAGACCTGGCAAAGATAGCCTAGCCATACAGAATGACTGAATTACTGTACCTGGCAGTGAAATCCATACAGAATGACTTAATAGCTAGATCTTGAAAAGATAGTCTTACAAAATGACTTAATCACTGAACCTGGCAAAGAGAGCCTTACTGAATGGACCTGACAAAGAAAGCCATACAGAATGACTGAATCAAAGGACCTGGCAAAGATAGCCAGACAGAATGACTAAATTACTAGACCTGGCAAAGAAGGCCTTACTGAATGGACCTGGCAAAGATAGACCTACAGAATAACGTAATGTCTGGACCTTGCAAAGATAGCCATACAGACTGACTAAACCACTGGACCTTGCAAAGATAAACATACAGAATGACTTAATCACTAGACCTTGCAAAGAGGGCCTTACTGAATGATTCAATCACTAGACTTGACAAAGATAGCCATACATATTATGCACTACTTTAGAATAGTCATGCACACCTTGTTACAATACAATAATTAAGCATGCTTTTCTGTAGTTTACCTAACAAAAAATCATGATAATGTTCAACATAACAGTTTTTAACCCTTACCTTACCTGATTTATAAAATATATTTGCCTAACATTGAATTAGGAACTGTCCATTGTTCATTGAAGGGGAGCCAATATCAAAATGATAATATTATAAAATCCAAACCTACATTATGAGACTCAGGTCAGACTGCCAGGATAGTCAGACTTAGTAAGTCTTCCATTGTTTGAACTGATGGTATAGGCAAGTCCTTTTGATAAACACAGGGATTATTCAAAAGGGTTAAATGCTGACTGAATCTATCTGCATGGAATGCAGCATTGTTTTTTGATATTGATGATTTTATGATGCCTAGAAAATTGATTTGTTTTCATAGACTGCAAATGTTTTATTTACCTGCTTCAGATTTTGTATTAACAATTGTATAGCTAGTTCAATTATGGTTATGATGTATGGGGAAATATGCTCCCAAAGGTGTACCATTGCCCTAATTGTATGCATCATCAAAATAAAATATTATAGAATTATTATGCTTGCACCTTTTCCAGTTGAGATATTATGGATAATATTCTCTCATTGTTATATGATGGGATCAAGTCATGTAGTACATGTTATCATGAAAAAATACATTTGTAATTTGTATCTTTTAACTTAAGTCTAAGTTGTAGCTACTTACATTATAGACATCATAGATGAACTGCTTGTATTTTACTCATGTTCATTTTATTCTCACCATTTTATGCTTACATTTATTTTATTGCATTTTGTTAAGTTAATAATTATAATTTTGACACAATTGTTACAGCATTTGTTTCGTTGTTTGTTATTTAATTCTACAAGATTCTGACATTTATAGAGTTAAGCTTTCTGTAGTGTAAGGCTATGTTTGTATGATATAGTGATATGTATACATGGGTCATCTAGTTTCAGACCCAGTAGCTAGACAAAAAGGATGTACATGCATTTAGAAAAACATTTAGAAAAGAAAGTTTGACCTTTGAACTTTCTCAATGAAGAGTAAACATGTTACATAATGTTGAATGAAGTGCTTTGTTAACATGATAAAAACATGTTGACTCTGTGATTTTATTGAAATCCCAATTATTGCTGACAAAATTGTTTTCATTTAGGCCAAAAACATGTCTTTAAGTCACATGATTTCTTCAAAAGTTATGGTTGCTAGACAAAAACCTTTTAGTATGGTTAGTGCTTAAAATATGCTATTTTTATGCAAAGTTCAGAGTATAAATTTTTTTGATGAATGGATGGGTCAGAGCAGGTACAAACTTTATGTTGGTTGAAAATGAGGAACAGACATTGTTTCTATATCTGGCCTATTTTGTGTAAGGAATTGCTTTGTACTTGTAAAGTTGTTTGCTATGTTTTAGAATTATAGTTGATAGCTGATCAGGGTGGCCACTTACTAGATTATTTGGGTGTGTGCTGGTTGTGGGTGGGGGACGAGTAATAATTCTTAACAAGTTAATAATTTTTGTTTATATTCACAGACAAAATAATTTTATTGTTACCCGCTGGTTATAATTTAATTTTCTTTTCTTGCATCTTACAATTTATTCATACATCTAATTTTGTAATTTTTCAGACGAAATGACCCACCACTGTGTGTTATAACACAGGAAAGCATGTCTCTAGAAGAAATAGGTAAGTTAACCTTTTAAATGCTTGCAGCTAGGATGACTTGACTTTACTTTTCATTAAATAATAGTCAGGCTAGCCTGTTCACCTGTACGTTGCTGTCAGTAGAACTATCTATTATCCAAAATAGTGATTTTTATATTATAGATTATTTAATGTAGCTAACTGGTCAGAATCTAGCCAGAAAAAACTTGACTAGTATCTGTGCTAGAAAAGATTGTTTTGACTTTTGGAATGATGAACAATCTGTTTAAATCTTCTTAGATAAATTTATAATAGTGAAAAAAATGTTTTGAAGACTTGAAATAAACTATTCTAAAGAACATTTCTTGTAAATTACCAATGATAATCATTAAATCAACTTTTTAGATTTAAGAGAAAATAAATGACCAAATTCTAGTTGTGCCTATTGAAATAAAGTTTCTCTGTTTTCAGAAACATTGTTGAAGGAGACAGAACACAATGGTTTCCCTGTGGTGGTCTCCCTTGATTCCCAATATCTGGTAGGCTTTGTTACCAGAAGAGATCTACAATTAGCTATAGGTAAATAATAAACATTTTATTGTTTTGTTCAATTTCAATTGATTTTTAATCAGACCAACTCTGTTTAAATCACTGAGTAAGGTTTCTTTGATTTAATATGTCTCCTCACTATACTACTATACTATACTCATGATTCTCTTAAACCTTATCATAATGATGCTTCAGACTTGTGATATGGCCCTTTAGGTATGAACTATTAAGTTTTGGTATTATCTTACAAACTTTGGTATAATATTTATTTTTGGTATGATATTTTAAACTTTGGTATAATATTTTATTTTTGGTATGATATTTTAAACTTTGGTATGATATATTGAACTTATGATATTGTACTTGATACTTCAAATCTAAAACTTCTATATACACAAGTATAATACTATAAATTACCTATATATACTTGTCACTACATATCTGTTATATAACTTATTTTCAGCAAATGCACGTAAGAATGTGGAGGGTGTGGTCAGTGATTCAATAGTTTACTTCTCTAATCAGATCCCTAGTAATACAGTAGGACCTGCTCCTTTAAAACTCCGAAAAATATTAGATCTGGTAAGTTTAATGACTAAATTTATCTACGACTTAAAGAAAAATTACTTTACACATTCGCATTATTAGCTCACCAGAGCCGCAGGCTCAGGGTGAGCTATTAGTATCAAAGGGGGATGCTCCGGCGTCCGTCGTCATGCGTCAACAATCGTCTTCTTCTCTGAAACTACTGGGCAGATTTACTTTAAATTTGGTCTGTAGCATCCTTGTGACAGTCACACTTGAATTTGCTCATGTCATACCAATTGGCCCCTTTAAGGGGTCAGCAGAGCTAAAAATAGAAAAACCTTTAAACATCTTCTTCTACAGAACTGATTGATGGATGATCACCAAACTTTGTCTGTAACATTCTTGGGTAGTCTTTTATCAAGTTTGCTCATATTAATTTGATTGGCCTATTTTAGGGGTCTCTAGGGCTAAAAATAGAAAAAAACCTTTAAACATCTTCTTCTACAGAACTGATGGATGGATGATCACCAAACTTTGTCTGCAGCATTCTTGGGTAGTCTTTTATCAAGTTTACTCATATGAATTTGATTGGCCCCTTTTAGGGGCCTAAAAATAGAAAAACCTTTAAATGTCTATTTCTACAGAACTAATGGATGGATGATCACCAAACTTTGTCTGTAGCATTCTTAGGTAGTCTTTTATCAAGTTTGCTCATATTTATTTGATTGGCCCCTTTTAGGGGTCTCTAGGGCTAAAAATAGAAAAATCTTTAAACATCTTCTCCTACAGAACTAATTGATAGATGATCACCAAACTTTGTCTGTAGCATTCTTGGGTAATGTTTTATCAAGTTTGCTCATATTAATTTGATTGGCCCTTTTAGGGGCCACTCAAGCTAAAAAAAGAAATACCATTAAATGTCTATTTCTAGAGAACTAATTGATGGATGATCACCAAACTTTGTCTGTAGCATTGTTGGGTAGTCTTTTATCAAGTTTGCTCATATTATTTTGATTGGCCCCTTTTAGGGGCTGCAAAAGCTAAAAATAGAAATACCTTTAAATGTCTTTTTCTACAGAACTTTTTGATGTATGATCACCAAACTTTGTCTGTAGCATTCTTTGGTAATCTTTTATCAAGTTTGCTCACATTAATTTGATTATCCCCGCAAAAGCTAAAAAAAGAAATACCTTTAAGTGTCTATTTCTACAGAACTAATTGATGAATGATCACCAAACTTTGTCTTTATCATTCTTGGGTAGTCTTTTATCAAGTTTGCTTATATTAATTTGATTAGCCCCTTTTAGGGGCCACTTAAGCTAAAAATAAGAAAAACCTTTGAACATCATTTCCTACTGAAATAATTGATAGATGATCACCAAACTGTGTAGCATTCTTAGGTAGTCTTTTATCAAGTTTGCTCATATTAATTTGATTAGCCCTGTTTAAGCTAAACTTTAAATGCCCCAGGTCATGGCATTTCTTCAAAATATTGTTTAAACATATTCTATGCTCAAGTTTAATATGAGAATATATTGACATTCCAACACTGAAAAGCAGTTGTTTCTGGTGAGCGACTCAGGGCCATCATGGCCCTCTTGTTAATTAGTATTGATAAGAAATAAAAAGTTGAAAAGTCATGAAATCAGTGTTGTTTTTTCAGTTCAAACGTTTTTGTGTTTTTCAGGCTCCTGTTACAATAACAGATCAAACTCCCATGGAGACAGTCGTAGAAATGTTCAGAAAACTTGGCCTCAGACAGACTTTAGTTACTGTTAATGGGTAAGTTACAAATTTTAAGGTTTGTATGAGTAGAACCTCATATTTTTGAGTTTTCTTTAACACCACACTTTTGAAATGATTCAATGTTGATAGACAGAAAAGTAAGTTTTTAATGCACATTTCTTTATATACATTTGTATGTTCCATTAAACACAAATATAATACTTGAATTTTTGTATTCTCCTTGATTTCAGGCGACTTCTTGGCATAATAACTAAAAAAGATGTATTACGTCACATAATTCAGCTGCAGAATCAGGACCCAGACTCCATCTTGTTCAACTGATCATTTCTTATCATTGTTGTCATGGAAACATTGTTGTTATAGAAACAAGCAGACAGTACACTATCTTGTGATCATCAATAAAAACACTGATCACAAGGTGAACAGTCATTGTCAGATTATAACTGACGTTGATATTGTCTATGAACAAAGTTTTATTTTTGTTGTCATGGAAACCACACATGCTTAGAATTTGTTGTCATAGAAACTGAACATGTTTTGATTTTGTTGTCTTGAAAACCTATCATGTTTTGAAATTGTTGTGAATGGTAACTTATCATGGTTTGAATTCATTGCCATTCATGTAAAGAATTAAGCAATGTAAGGTTCGGATGATGAATAGCTTTAATATTGTAACAGAAATAAAAAAAAATTAAATGTTAAAAAATTGAATTTTATCTAAAAAGAAATCTGATTTTTGTTGTCTGGTGAAGCAGCTGAAGATAAAGTTTACCTGCTTATATTAAATAAGTGTTAAACAGAAAAATAGACGAATTTTACTAGGAACATGAGTAATGATATGCTAGATTAAGACAAAGAACAGTTACTTAATTTACTATTGTTGCTATTGTACTTTATTGTTGCCATGGTTCTTATGCCTGTGTTGTCAGTCATGCTGGAAATTTTAGGGATGCAGCGTAAAATGTATTAAGGGTATTGTAAAGTGAGGAGCCTGATGCAAAACCAGTTATATTGCATAGAAATAGTGGAGTGGAAACAATAATAATTATTGAATACAGTGATGATGATATGTTTTATTATTGTTTTATATTTGATCAATATTGTTAGCTAACAAGTGCTTGTGTTTGCTATGAAATTACTATATGCCTAGAGATAATGTATTTCCATGCAATTTTCTTTGATTGATAGTTAAGTTTGTTGGAATGAGATTACTGTAACAAGTTGTATACTTTAATATGAGATGTGAACACCCATATATAATTAATATTTCTTTAATTTTTAAGCCAAAATTTATTATATACTAAGATAAAGTTTTACAAAAGGAAAGTTTTCACTTTCTTGATTTCAAAATGTTATTTGAACTATGTTATTTTTAGCTCACCTGTCACAAAGTGACAGGGTGAGCTTTTGTGATTGCTTTTCGTCCGGCGTCCGGCCATAAACTTTTACTTTAAATGACATCTCCTCATAAACCACTAAGCCAATTTCATCCAAACTTCACAGGAATGTTCCTTTGGTGGTCACCTTTAAAAATTGTTCAAAGAATTTAATTCCATGCAGAACTCTGGTTGCCATGGCAACCGAAAGAAAAACTTTAAATATCTTCTTTTAAAGAACCCAAAGAGCTAGAGCTTAGATATTTGGCATGAAACATCTTCTAGTGAGTGTCTACCAAGTTTGTTCAAATAAAAGCCCTGGGGTCAAAACTGGCCACGCCCCAGGGGGTGTCATTGTTTTTAACTATATATGTTATATATGTGTAGTAAAAACTTAAAAAATCTTCTTTTAAAAAACCCAATGAGTTAGAGCTTAGATGTTTAGCATGAAACATCTTCTAATGGGTGTCTACCAAGTTTGTTCAAATAAAAGCCCTTGGGTTAAAATTGGCCCTGGCGGGGCAGGGGGGGGGGAGAAGGTCATTGTTTTTCATTATATGTGTGTAGTAAAAACTTAACATCATGAAACATCTTCTAATGGGTATCTTCCAAGTTTGTTCAAATAAAAGCCCTGGGGTTTAAACTGGCCCCGCTCCGGGGGCCTATATACAGGTGAGCGACCTCAGGGCCATCATGGCCCTCTTGTAAATGGAAGAGAACTATCTAATTGTGTGAAGATTTGGATGATCTAAAAGAATTATCAGTATGAATAGAAAATATGTAAAGCACAACCTTGGATGATAGGTTTTTGTTACTTAGTTCAAGGAATTAATGCTAAATCAACAAAAGGAACAACACATCAACACCTTGGTATGAAAGACAGGATGTTTTATTAGATCTACCGAATCCAGTCTTTCTATTTCTTTTATGAAATTAAGGAACATGTCATATTGGTGTTTTAAGGACTCTAGTATAAAATGCAATTTATTTATTAAGTTGGTGATATTCAAATTCACAATTTAAAATGTAATAGTAGTGAGTGGTTCAGTATAATTCAAATAATCAAATGTAAGATATAGACAGCAAATATTTTGTAAGTTATCACTTAAAAATGTGTAAAAAATGGAATTATTGTTTGAAATGTAATGAATTTATCATGTATGAAAATTGTTAAAACAGGAATATATTTTAAAAAAGTACACTGTGTGTGTTACCACAAAATATCAAACCTGTTGTACACAGTGTCTTTCTTTAATTATAAGTTAAGCTTATGTACATAGTGTGGTGATATTGAATAAAGTAATCTGATGCACATGCTGCAATACTGTAAATTGTGGCAACTTAATTTTACACATTGTAATACTTGAACTGTATGATTACCTGTTTTCAACACAGTGTAAATGATGAGAAGGATGGTTTTCTGTTGTACAGAATGTGTAATGATTAAGCATATGATAACCTGCTGTTCATAGTTTACAATGTACACAGTGCATTGTTATGAAAATTTGCAATCTTCTATGTACAGTCTTATGGTTTGCTCTGTATTACCAGTTACACTTGTAGGAATGAAGTAATGATGTAAAATTTGGTTAGCTGTTGTAGCCAGTGTTATACTGTATACTGTTATACCTTTTTGTACACAGTGTAATTTTGTAATTATAGGCTGAGCTTATGGGATAATTCTAGATCATATCGTGAAATATACATGCTGCATACTGTAAATTATTTTGACCTGCTGTACATATTTCAATGCTGAAACTGTTTATTTACCTGTTGTGCACAGTTCAGTGCTGAGAAATATAGTATAATAGTGATTGATACAAAGTGAAGTGGATATGGCATACGGTCACCTACTGTTCACAGTGTATTGCTTGAATCATATGAACTGTATGCTTACCAGGTATACACAGTGTAATGTTATACAACGTGGTCATCTGGTGTACACAGTGTAATGTTATACAACATGGTTATCAGGTGTACACAGTGTAATACTGTGCATAATAGTTAGCTGTGTACACAGTACAATGTCATACAACATTGTTCCCTGGTATTCATAGTGTAATGGTATACAACATGGTTATCTGGTGTACACAATGTGGTACTGTGCAAAATGGTTACATGGTATACACAGTATATATTTAACAAGGCACCAAATGTACACAGTGTAACACCAATAAAGCTTGTAAACCTGTTGTACACTGTTGTGCCAAAAGTTCCCAGAGAAATTGAGAGGATGGCACTGTAAGGCTTTGTCATAAAATCATGATCATGTGAAATGATAATTTTTGTGTGTGTCAGAATCATGACGTGACTGTAAATTACATTTAGCATTCCATTGAATATTTATCTACCTTCAAGTTATGTTATACTACTGGGTTTTATTTATCAGAGTTCTTTACTTATATAGTTGAATTATGAAACAATCACTCTAATTTGTAGAATGTTGTGAAATTTGACACAGATATTTTTTAATTTGTTGAGACTAAAATTGATAGTTTGTGGGTACAGTTTGAAATTATAACATTTAAGTTGTATTATATGTAAGGGAATTATGAAATTGAAAAAAATGAGATCAAATTAAAGAATGATTTATTCATATTTAGGATGTTGATATTCAAAAGAAAGAGAGTAAAATTCTGAGATAAAGGTGCGAAGAAATGTAAGCTTTGCCAATTTGAAATTAAACCTTTCAGTTACACATTAAAGTTATACCTAAATTGTATAAGTTCTGTTGTAACAAATCACCAAGCGAGAAGATTGCTAATATGCCATGTTTGCAACAAAACAAGTCATTTATGAAATAAATTGAATGTTGGAAGCTTATTTCCTACATATATTTGGCGGCAATGGGAAAAAATGATACTAAGATGTGATTTGTATTACACATAATGATATTGTATATCTGTAAAACTGTGATAAGTAAAACCCTGTATTTGTTTTATATCGCTGCTCACCTCAGTATGTTTTACTCAAGTTGATATTTTTGGTCTAGTTTTTCATAATTTAAAGTTTATTTTTAAATTTTATCGAGCGGATGTATTATCTTTAAGTGATATTACCTTTGTTTCTGTTTTTGTTAACATTTTAATTTATGACATAAGTTATTAAAATACTGTTTTATGAAGAATATATTCGCTAAAAATGTTTGATTTTTAAATTAATTGTTCTTAACAATAATAAAATGTAAAGATTGACTTTACTGCTGAGTCTTAGCATAACATCTGCTATTTAAAAAAGTTTTTATCGTCACAATAAACCGTGAAATTAATATGTTAAATGATAGAAATATATTGACAAACTAAATAAAAAAATAAGTTTAAAAGAATGCTTGCAAACAATTAACAGGATTTTATGTGAAAGTCAATATTTGTACATGTATTTAGACTTTGTTAGGTAGACAAATGTGAAGAATTTCTATTTAATAGGGAGTATTGTATGGCTATGTAGAATTATCACCAACATGTTGTATATGTTGTTTATTTATATCTGTATATATGTATGTCAATGTTTTTGTTATTTTCCACTCATCTTCCTCAAACATTTATTCAGAAAGATTTATGTTTTACATTTTTTCCTTTATTATATATATTCTGTGATAAAACCCCCATGATGTTTTATATATATAGTAAAATGCCATACATGATCAATTCATGTCAATATATACATACATGTATATGTCATAGCTATATGTTAATAAATGTTAATCAGTTATTTATAGACTGTATGCTTTCGTTTTACACTTCATAAAACAATATCAATGTGTTCAGTCCATCAACATGTTTTTGGTAATTTTGACATCTTCCCTTTCACTCAAGTTATTTTGGTAATTTTGATATCTTCCCCTGTCCTCTTAATTATTTATTTTTGTAATTTTGACATTTTCTTCAGGCTCTTACTGATATCTTTGGGTAATTTGCGCCTCTATATATTTTAGTAATTTTGAAATCTTCCCTGGGGTTCTAGTTATTCATTTGGATAATTTTGAGATACATGTATTCCATTGTAATTCTGTTTATTTTGTTAATCTTTAGATATTTTCTGTGTCTCTTGTGATAAACTTATTTTGAGATATTACTTTGATCCCCTGTGATTCTGTATATTTTGACATCTTCCCTGGAACTTCTGTGATTGAATTTATTATCAATTTTGACATCTTTTGGTCAAATTTGTACAGTGGTTGAATACCAAAAAATAATTTTTAAATAAAAAGTATGCTAAATGTTCCTGTATCTATTGGTGAAATGGTGAAACACTGTCAACCAAAAAAGTTTGTATCTGTATCACCGATTAAAGGTTTTTTTAGAAAAAATAAATGAATTAAAATCATCTGAAAGAATTCTAAATTTTAACGATTTGTTGATGGACTGGATACCTTTACATGTTAACGTATATATGAGGTTAATACTCGCACATTGTTAGGAAAAATAATGGCAAGACATAGATTTGATAAAGGAATATTCCCAAACATACAACTCATTATTTATGCTTCAGACAGAACTTAAACATTCTGTTTCTATTTTCAAAAACGATTTTTTTTAAAGGCCTGGTGTTTAAACTTTTCTTCAAAAGAAATTTTAACTTAAAAATTGTCACGGGTTTATTTTCTTTTTAAGGCTTAAAAGTCAGACATGTGTGTTTTTGTCAAAAGAAATACATTTAAGATTTATTTTTAATTTTCTGCCTTTGAAGGCTTTACCTGTTGAAATACCTTATTTGAATTATTTATTATGTTCATAATTGACGTTTTCACAGCCATATTTCAAATCTAAATGCAAGCACCATTGTTTGATCTATTACATCCATTTATAATATTTTGACAGTTATGATAAACTAGATGACCATTTTACCTTATGAATTAGTAACAATTACATGTATAACCCATAACCTGCTGGAACTAACAAGTGATGAGTATTTTCCACAAGTTTAGAGACAGGGCAGCCAATATTGTCTGTGAATTTTCAATTATATTGTAAATTACCTCTGAATCTCATTAAATTTCACATTAATTACAAAGATAAGGTCAGATGTGAAGGTCAAATATCAAAGGTCATTTGTATTTTAAATGTTTACACATGTAGGTATTGTATTTGGAGTACTCATATTGAATGTTTTGTCTTTTAGTGAAATTATTCCATTATTAAACTGATAACTGATGTGAGTTAAAGAGTTGTCTTTTCTTTCCATTATGTAGGAAAATGTTTCTTTTCATTGTATATGTCAATATAAAAAAATATTTATTTGGGATGTTGTGGGGGTTTTTTGTAATTTTTTAAATCTGGATCCAAAAGCAGTAAGGGGACATTTAATTTTAAAAAAGAGCAGAGTTTTTTGCTACCCCCCAAAAAAATTTTTTTTTGGAGGGCTTGTTTTTCTTACAAACCAAAAATTTGGGAAAAAGTTCTTTTCTCCATCATGTAAAATGGAAAAATTGTTTTTCTTTCCATGAAGAAAGGAAAACGCTGTCCCCAAACAAACCAATTTATGATAGAAGGGAGTTTTTTCTTTTTTTTCCATTACGTAAGGGAAAAAGTTTTTCCCTTTTATGATGTAATGAAGGTTTTAAATGTTTTTTTTTTTACCGGGAAATTAAATTTAGAGGGTTTTTTTGGGAAAAAAAATGTAAAACCTTTTTAAAAAAATAATTTTTTAAAACTTCTACTTAATTCATTTATTTTGAAGTCATTGCTAGAAAGCCTATAAAGTAATCTTTCATTTGATACCAAACTTTTATAACTGATAAGAAATAAAAAAAAGAAGTGCAGCTGTGTTTTCCCTAAGATTTATTGTGAAAAGTGGATGAGGCGCCGGGTTTAATACCTGTCCGTTTTTGCTTCCAATCATGATAGAAAAGAGTTGTCTTTTCTTTCCATTATGTTAGGAAAATGCTTTTGTCCATTATGTATGTCAATATGAAGTTTTCGTCACGTGGTACATGGTGTGAAATGGTGGTGTTGATAGTTTTCAGTCCAGATCACGTCACTAAGCCATATTAAATTTACATGATCACAGTTCAGTCATTGCATATTTCCAGGGCAGCTTGTCGTGTAGTCCCAATATATCAGACGTTAGAGGTTTGTTATAGTTTATGCCGTTCAAGTCTTAAAGCAAAGTATCTCAAAGCTACGCCATATTGATAGGACTAGCTGTAGAGTAGTTTTATCAGTACTAGTTGCCTTCACTTTCACACGGAACTTCTGTACATACCAGAGCAAAGGTACAGTGTAAATGACCACAGAAAGGATTCAATGATCAGTCTCACCGAAAGTGACATGAAGCATCTAGAAATAGAACGTTGGTTGCCTAGTTCAACGTAAAACGCTCTACTTATTGAGCTAACCTGAAGGCTTCATGTGGTACGTTGTGTCCAAGCATGAACATTAGCTTATAGGAGCCAAAGTGAATTGGCTGTTATTGATTTTCATTCTTGAGTAGTCAACCCTTTGAATTTCCAAGAGGAATTAATTAACGAGGGAGTAAAACAAAAGAATTGATATAAAGTTTGTTTGTTTGATTCATTTTACGCCTTTTTCCAACAATTTTTCAGTCATATAGGCGGGTAGTTTCCTAACCATCGTTCCTGGAGAGTTACACCAGTACTAGACTACCTTCCTCCGCGCTAAACTACCAAAGCATCTCCCGGGGTTCGAACCCACGCCAGAGAGGTAACTGGATTAGAAGTCATCGATTCTAAACCCTCGACCACGGAGGCGGTGATATAAAGTTGAGCATATATTCGCGGCTTCGTCCGTCCGTCTCTCCTTTTCTTGCCCGGGATTTAACTCTGAAACAACAAGAGGTATCAACATGAAACTTTGGAGGTAGATAGATCTTATTGAATTGATATGCAGAACACAAGATCCGTATCTTAGCCTTGCTTAATTTTGGAGTTAATGCCCTTTGTTCATTTTTACACTTTAAACATTGTTTGGGACATAGATCTGAAACTATAAGAGATGAAACATGAATCTATGTAGGTAAATAGATCTCTTTAGGCAGAAATGCAGTGCAAAAGAACCGCAATTCTGCCTTGCCTAATTTTTGAATTATTGCCCTTTGTTCATTTTTTACGTTTTGAACTTTGTCTGGGACATTACTCTAAAACCATAAGAGATATCAATTAGAAACTTTGTAGGTAGATAAACCGCATTGGGTTGAAGTGCAGTGCACAAAAAATCATTACTCTGCCCTGCCTTATATTGGAGTCATTGCCCTTTGTTCATTTTTACACTTTGAACGTTATCCTTTGAAACTATAAGAGATATTAATATGAAACTTTGAAGGTTGATTGATCTCATTGCGTAGTTGTGCAATGCATCAGAACTCTGCTTTGCCTAATATAGGAGTTATTGCCCTTTTTTCAGTTTTACACTTAAAACTTTGTCCGGGACATAACTCTGAACCTTTAAGATACTTTGAAGGTAGATAGATCTCATTAGATAGAAGTGCAGTGGAAAAAAACCCATAACTCTGCCTCGCCTTATTTTTGAGTTATTACCCTTTGTTCATTTTTACGTCTTTAACATTTTCCGAGACATAACTCTGAAACCATAAGAGATATCAATATGAAACTTTGTAGATAGATCATATTGGGTAGAAGTACAAATCAAAAGAACCATAACTCTGCCTTGCCTAAATTTTGTGTTATTACCCTTTGTTCTCTTTTACAAATTGAACTTTGTCTGGCACATAACTCTGAAGTTTCCTATTCCTTATTCCTAACTTTAGGCAGATTTCTGTGTTCGGAAAATATCCCATGGTTGAAGTGAGTAATCTTACTCTATACATTTCTCATGAGTCTCTATATCAGTTATGTTCCAAAGATATATTCTACGGCAACCGAAAGAAAAAACTTCTTTCAAAAAATCTAAAGAGCTAGAGCTTAAATATTTGGCGTGAAACATATTCTAGTGTGTGTCTACAAAATTTGTTCAAATAAAAGGCCTGGGGTCAAAATTCGCCCGCCCAAAGGGCTCATTGATTTTCCTTATATGTATTAGGTAAAAACTTAAAAATCATCTTTAAAACCTCAAAGAGCTTTGTTTGGCCTGAAACATTTTCTAGTGAGTGTCTACCAAGTTTGTTCAAATTAAAGCCCTGGGGTCAAAATTGGCCTGCCCGGGGAAGGTCATTGGTTTTCCTTATTTGTATGTTTTATAAACTTAAAAAATCTTCTTTTAAAAACCAAAAGAGCTAGAGCTTAGATATTTAGCATGAAACATCTTGTGAGTGTCTGTCAAGTTTGTTCAAATAAAAGCCCTGGGGTCAAATTGGCCCCGCCGCAGAGGTTATTGATTTTCCTTATATGTATAGATTTAACACTTAAAAATCTTTTTTATTTAAAATTAACCGAAAGAGCAAGAGCTAAGATGCTTCGCATGAAATATATTCTGGTGAGTGTCTACCAAATATGTTCAAACAAAAGCCATGGAGTCAAAATTGTCTCCGCCCCAGGGGTTACTGAATTTCCTTATATGATTTTAGTAAAACTCAAAGAGCTAGAGCTTAGATATTTAGCGTGAAACATCTTCTTGTGGGTGTCTACCAAGTTTGTGTTACAATAAATAAATAATAATTGTGTTCCTGGGGTCAAAGTTGGGCCCACCAGGGGGTCATTGATTTTCCTAATATGCACACATCTTTTGAAACTGTTGTCTTTCCCTAGCAATAGCAACTAGTAATGCTTTTACACATGCACTATTTCAGATACAAATTTGTGATATCAGTTTAAGATTTAGATTTTATATCTACTTTTGTTTTATAGTTTACAATATTACTTGTTCCTTGTCATGGAGAGTTTTTATATTCAGGTGAGCGATTTCAGGTTCATCATGGTCCTCTTGTTTGTGTAAAATGACCTAAAATGGAAAGCATTTAAAGGCTTTTATCTCAAGAATTTTACGAAATATTGATTTTCACTTTAATTCTTAGTATATTTTCATATTTTACAGTTTCGAGTGTCCGGGTTGAATTATATTAGATATCCAAATTTGTACATGTCAAGTACATATGCAGGGGATGGTGTGAAGAGGGCAATATGACAACTTTTCCTTGCTCTTTTATTCAAGGGAATGATTACTTTGTTCACGTTTGGTATGAAGGAAAGATTGTGACAGATATTATGTTATGCGCAGACACAATATTGATAGAGTTCAGATCTACCTAAGTTATTTCTTGCGTGTAGATCTGATTGACACCGTATTTGATTCACCTTCATTAAGATTCGGATTCCAAAGAAAGCTATTGATAACCATGCAATCAAACTGTCCTTTACAGAATGTCATTAGACAAAGTATCAAAATATGGCTGTCTCTCGGAGTAAAACAAATTGTTGATTTTAGTTAGCGAAAATAATTGTTTGAAGTAATTTTAAACACAAAGCCTCAATTTTTACAGAGCAAGATTGAGGCACATAATAAAATCCTTGGTTGATTGTACATATATTTTTATAATTCAAATGAATGACGCACACAGTTAAAGAGTGAAATATTTATTATATAATTTATATATGATTGTTAAACATTAATTTATTTATAGTAAAACATTTGACAATATTCATGTATATAAATAAAGGTGTACAATGGTTGATCAGTATGTAAAGATGATTGATTGCAGTTTCTATTTATTAAACCCCCACTACCGAAGTTTAGGGGGGTATATAGGAGTCTTCTTGTCGGTTGGTCGATGGGTCCACATCATGGTTTCCGGACGATAACTAGAGTTTGGAATGAGATATTTTAATCAAACTTGGTATATATCAACCTAATGTGGAAACCCTTGTTAGTATTTTATTTGGATCCCCTTGGATCAAGGTCAAGGTTACAAAAAAATAATGGTTTCTAGACAATAACTTAAGTTAGGAATTAGGTATTGTAATCAAATTTGGTTTATAGCAAGCTTATATGAAGACCCCCTTTTGTTAAGGTAAAGGTCACCGTTACCAAAAGAAAAATGGTTTCCTGACAATTACTGGAGTGTGGAATGAGATATTGTAATCAAACTTTTTTGAAGCAAGCTTATATGAAGACCCCTATGGGTATTGCATTTGGACCACCTGGATTCAAGGTCAAGATAACCATTACTTAAAATAGAAAAATGGTGTTCGCACAATAACTAAAGTTAGGAATAAGATATTTCACTGAAATTTTGCATAAATTTGGACCCCCTGGGATCATGGTCAATGGTTTTCAGCTGGGAATGAGATATTACACTCAGATTTAGTAAATAACAAGTTTATATGAAGATCCTGGTTGGGATTGCAATTAATTGAAATAATTCGATGTACACAGTTGATACTTTATCAATTATATGTTGAGTTCAAATTTTTATTTAAAAAAAAGAGTAAAAGTTGCTGGTGAGGGTTTTAATCACCTTGCTAATGGCTATAGTTACTCTATATATTCATAATATTGAAAATTGTTAAATGGTTTTTTAAGATAATATAAAGCTTTCAGCCGGTTTACTGGGGGAAGTTTGAGTAAGTTGAGCAACGAAATTATGCCAAAATTTGATTTTATTTTTAAAATTTTTAAAAAAACCAAAAAGTTGTTTTTTTTCAACCTTTTTGGCGAATTGTTTTGCCGGTTTTTCCTGCTCGTTATATGGACAACACATCTTTCTTCTAAAAATCATGAAATAACATACTTTATATTGGTTTCCAAGCAGTTAAAATTAGAAACTGCATCACTTTCAAACTGTGAAAGCTTGTCAATGAATGGCTGTTTGAAAGGCCATGAGAAGGTGACATCCAGTTGTTGCTTGTCAGATCCTATGCTTAGCATTAATTCGGAGCTGATTTTCATCAGATTGATTTTGTGTTAGATATTAGTTTATTATCTGAATGTTTATTGTGACAATGGTTTGTGTATGCCACCAGTCTAGAAGTAAAAAGATATACCAGTTTGTTTGTGAAGCAAAAACAAACAAAAAACAAACAAACAAAAAAACAACAGCAAAACATTAAAAAAATAACTGTCACAATAAGATAACTGTCACAGTTCAATTTTATGTTAGATAGCTGAAAATACTTGTTTTCAAGTATGTTAAATGTTGGTGGCACTCTGTTTGTTATAAGCTTGATATAAGCTTACCAAGGGTGTTTGTGCTTTACCAACCCGCATGATTGCAACTTTAATATTGTAATTGACTCCAGTGAGAAATAGTTTATTGTTTACAGAGGTACTGTAAATAAAACCGTCACCAGTTCTTAATAGTTCAAAAGTACCAATAATAAGCATCATACAAAAGTTAATCCCCATACAATTGTTAATATTATATCTGTCTTTGAAGAGAAAGATTTCTGTCATTATTTAGACAGTTTGAAGAGTTTGATAAAGTTCTTTTCTGTTAAAAAACAGCTGTTTGTGTACAATTTACATGTTTCAGCAGACCAATAAACAGCTAGAGGGTTTTGTATATTCTTTACAACATCCAGTCCTTCAGTACTGTCTCCTGATATCTCTTCTATGGTATTGTTATCCCAAAAACAAACAAAAACAGTCCCATCGTTTGACATTGTCAAACCACGAGGACTGGCTGTACAAACATATTTACCTGTCACCTCACATTGCCAGTTTAACTTGGTAACTGTTTTTAATGCAACATCAGATACAAAGATACAATTGTCACCTGTTGTAATATTTTGCGGAATTTTGAAAATATTTTCATTTTTTATTGTTTGTAATATAGTGCCATTGATAAGAAGGATTTGAACTTTAGCTGGTTTGCTATATGACACCACCATCTTATCTTTATGACAGCTTATACCATAACATTTTCCATCAACCTTTAGAGTGTGCTTCTTCTTGAGATCATTTCTAGAAACAGAAAAGAACTGAATAGTTTGATAGAATGGTAACGTGACAGCAACCTCATTTTTTGAAACTGATGTGACATTACAAGGATCACTATCAAAGTTGTGATGAGCTAGTACAGACTTCTTACTGATGTCAACCATTTTTATGGCACAATTAATATAATCAGTGATGATAAGAAGATCGGGAGTAGGGAGAGTCATTCCTGTTACCCAGCAATCATATCTATTTTGTGATGTTTTTATACAGATATTATCCATTTGTGAACATTGCCTTAACTTCAAAGCAGGAGATAATTTTTTACCTTTCATTGTTCCCAGTGACTTTTCTTTTTCAAGAAGATTTGATATTACCTCATTTGGTTCAAAATTATATTTTTTGACTTCAAATTCTGAGAGCTTAGAAACACTCTGTTCATATTCTTTTATCATCTGTTCTGTACGTTTAAGTTCCATGAACAAATCATTGGCTTGCTTGGAAGTGTTGAGATGTTTAATTACATCAGAGGATAACTTTAATGATTTAAATACATCTCCACATGCTGTTTCTACAGTCTTCATATTCTTGCTATTGTCCTCTTGGATGACTTTTGCAGCCTTTTTGACTTGTCTTTCCATTTCATCCAGTCTTTGGTTGATTTTTGTTCGGAATTTCGATATGTCTGTCAATAATCCTGTCAAAGACTTGTTTGATACCTCGTTCATTTTCTTCATGTCTTGAAGTATATTGCTTGATCTCTCAGTCATGTCGTTCAAATCTTTTAATATATGATGATATTCTGTGCTATTGATGGTCTGGCCTGAAATGTCCGGTATATAGTTGACATTGCAAGATGTTGCTGTATGATCAAGTGTAACACAGACACTGCAAAGTAGAGCTTTATGATCATGGCAGTAAAACTTAATCATCTCAATGTTGTGTTTAGGACATGGTTTTGTGAAATTATCTGGTTGCCTTTGAGTTACAGGTGACAGAGTCTGAGGCATGTTGGTTTTGTCTAGTAAAGTATGGTGTCTTGACAATGTGTGTCTTCTGTGGACAGTATAGCATGTTTCACACAAATGCTCTGAACAATTTGTACAATAACCATGAGCAGGAAGTCTAGGTCCATCGCGATCGCATGGCTGGCAGTATAGTTTGAGATCTTCATCAGAACCCAAAGAAATTGTTGAAGATGAAAATTGTTTGGTGGCTTTTCTACCCGGGACAGCCATGATTTTCCTGGAACGAAAACCATTTTGAACAACAGGAATTTAATTATTAGTCAAAGTTAGAAATGCAGATCTTGTAAAATGCCTTTCTTCCAAAATTGTTTTTACATGATACCAAAATAACAACCCTTTAGTATAAGATGCAGAAGAAGAGCTTTTTGATTTAAAAATGATTTTGGATAGAAGAAAGTATTTAAGTTTTTAAAGTCATCAGTAGTTTTATATATACTTGGAGTTTGCTCTTGAAAGTTATATAATTCCATATTCTTATTTAGATGTTCAGCTGTAAATTGGGCTGTTATGCCTATAATTTATTTGTTCTATTTTGATAAAATCTCATGAATGATATATTCTGGTAGATTTTTTTCTTTGAAATAATTGCGTTACTAAATTGTCACTGTTCAATTTTAGGTTTTTGTATCAGTTCTGATGACATATTCATTTAATTGGACTGCAAATATTTGAACTTTTTGTCATGTTTTGGTAGTTTTTTTCCTGAAGTTGAAGAAGATGTAGTTTTCATACAGTTTTCATACAGATAAAAGTGTTAAATATAAAATATAATAATGTAACATATTTAGATTATCATACAACTGAATATAAAATGGCCTACCTTTAACTGTTTCCAAAATTTATCTAAACAGTTTTTAATTGTTGTGTTGTTGAAAAAGAAAATTAGATTTAAACTCACACAGTTCAATACTACTTTCAGATAACAAGTTTTATAGTTACATAGTCATTATGATATTATTTTATCTGATGAACTTTATCAATAAACTTGACCAGCTGTCCATTATCAATTTTAGACGGATGTCAAGATGTAAATTTTAAAGTTGGTCTGCAGTAAACAGTATAGAGCCTGGTTGGACAACATGTATGTATAGGCTGGCCTGGCTCTATACTGGTGACAAAGGCTAATTGCTTTTAGTTCTAGGAAATTAAGGGTTACGGCAGTACATTATATTTTATAGTGTTAGGGTGATTTACCTTTGGAATGAAAATGTATGGTGTTTTTAAGCTATCTGTTACAACAGTATACATTGGTAACATTCTTTAATTACATATATACATTTTACATTCAAATTTTGATACATGTATATTTATATTTCAGTAACATGTGATAATGACAGCTTATAGAGTGGTACATCTACTGATAATATTATATCAAACATGTCACATGATGTATGTCATTTTTAAGGACGCAAACTTTGAGATATGATAATAGGTGTAAATCTGTAAATCAATATAGTGATAGTGGGAGCCATATATATTATATATTAATGGTTTACATGTTTATCTTAGAGCATTTTGATTAAATTACCAATAAAAAAATATTTTCAATTTCAATTAAAATAAACAAAAACAACAACAAAAAGACAAGCAAAAAACAAAAACAAAAAAAAGCTACAAAAAAAAAATGTCATATGATCATACACATGAATAAAGCTAGTCAAAGAATTTTGGTAAAGGGGAGATACCTCGGACGCAACTACATTTCCATATAAGATAGTGTAACAACCGTTTTTCAAGATTTCAAAAAAGAACAGAAAAAATTGCTGCAATTTTACAAACTCTAATCCACTATAGCACTATACCTTGTATCCAACATACATTAATATTTTGTATGAAATATTTTAGTCATTCTTTATAACAAACCATAATTTTATAATGTTATTCCTCATGATTATCTATTTCATGTGTTGGAGGCATGAAGTGTGTGTCAGCCCACTTTGTTGTATCTGTAAGCACATTGGTGCAATGCTTGCATTAGATAAGACATAGGCATTGTCATTGAAAGTTATGACGTATGTTGTTGCATATTCTAGGTACCATCAGGATTGTTTAAACCTAGTATCGCAGTTGGTAATATCATGGGAAGATTGATTGGTATTGGGATGGAACAACTAGTCATGTGAGTTGTCAATTTATTAATATCCTTCCGCAAAGCCGGGGAGGAAATTATAGGAATGGCCTTGCTTCTGTCAGTTCGTCTGTTGGTCACTAACAATTGATCCATTGTCAATTTGTCCGAGGTGAAATGAACCCTTCAATTCTATTGTAGAAATGATGTTGATTTATGCAACATTTGCTTGCAACTTCATATCTTATTCAACTCTTAAAATATTTGCTTGCAACTTCAAATGTCTTTGGAATCAATATTATTGGTCACTGGCCAAGACCTATGATTCTAGAGACATATGCCCCATTGTTAACTTCTGATTTAATTCAATTGACTTTAATTGACTTGTGTTTTACTTTCAAACTCTGATAATAAGTTAAGGATGTTAATTTATGATAGGTTTTGTTATTTACAAATCTATTAATTACAGAGCTAACAAAGATTGTCCATTGTTCAAAGATATGTGTCAGTCAGATTGTCCAATAACACTAGGACTATATGCCATGGTTGGTGCAGCAGCAGCTTTAGGTGGTGTTACCAGAATGACAGGTGAGATTTTATATGGCTTGTTATGAATATTAAGACCGATAAGTTTGTACCCTGCTTGTTATAAATTTGAACAAACCGATAAGTTGGTACCTGGTTTGTGATAAACATTAAGGTGTCCAGCTTTTGATAAACATTAACAGTCTGGCCAGTCGGTAACTGACTTGTGATAGACATAAATGGAGACACTGTGATTTAGATCATACTTTGCTTTGAAAGTTATATTTCTTTATACTCAGCATCAAATGCAATTTTACTGTAAAATATTTTTTCTACATTATTTTTTATGTATTTTGTAAATTTGTCCTTGACCACACAATATAGTTATGATGCATATATTATGTTTAGGATTAGTTAAAGTCATTAATGGTAAATAAACAAAAGGAACAGAACATAACAGCAAGGTAAAGAGGACAAGATGATTTGTAAGATCTACCTGTTCCACATTAAGGAAGTTAAGGAATGTGTAATATTGTAGTATAAATGTAATTTAGTAGTTATTTATAAATTTGGTGATATTTTAATTCACGGTTTATAATGTAAAAGTTGAGAGTGGTTCCGTTAAAATCAAATTCCCAATCAAATGTAATATATAGACAAAAAGTATTTTGTAAGCAATCACTAAAATGAGAGTTTAAAAATGTGTAAAAATGAAATTATTGTTTGAAATGTAATGAATTTTTCATGTATGAAAATTGTTTAAACAGGAATATAAAAAAATACACAGTGTGTTACTACAAAATATGCAAGCTGTTGTACAGTGTCTTTTTAATTATAAGCTAAGCTTATGTACATAGTGTGGTGATGTTGAATAAAATAATCTGATGCACATGCTGCAATACTGTATTTTGTGGCAACTTAATTTTACACATTGTAATACTTGAACAGTATGATTACCACATTATGTTTTCAGCACAGTGCTGTAGTATTTAAAAATCTTGGTGAACACAGTGTAATGCCGAGAAATATATCAACCGGTTGTGCACAGTGAAGTATTTTAAAAGATATGTTTACCTATTGTAAATAATGAGAAGGATGGTTTACTTTTGTAAAAAAAAAAAAAATTGTAATAAAAATTAAGCAAAAATGAAACAGCTTTTCAAAAAAGTTTAAAATGACCGGCTTTGTTAAAAAAAAATTTGAAAATTTTTTCCCCTTGGTTTCCCCCCTTGCCTTTTTTTCTTTTTCCCGTTCCTTTGGGGGGTTGGGGGAATGGTTTTTTTTTGTAAATTTTGGTTTTTTGTTTGTTCCCCCCCACTTTTAAAACTGAAACCCATGTTTAATTTTGGGTGAACTGCCCCCCCGTTTTTTTGTTTTTGTTCCCCTTGCTTTTCCCCCTGTTTTTTTTCCCCTTGTTTTCCCCCTTAAAAGCCCCCTTTAATCCCTTTTGCCCCGTGTAATTTCTTTTAATTTAGGCGGGGCCTTTTTGGTGATTCTAGATGATATTTAAAAATACTGTTGGATACTGTAAAAAAATTTTTGGGCCCTGCTAAACATAGGGGTAAGGGGCTGGAACTTTTTCTTTACGTTTTGGGCATAATTTCATTGCTCAAAAATAAAAGGTATTATGGGTGATTTATAAAAAGTAAAGTGGAATGGGCAAAATGGACTTTACTTTTCAAAATGTTTTTGTTTTAATCATTTTTGTTTAAAAGTTAAACCTGGTATACACAAGTAATTTTTTAAAACCAACATGTTTTCCGGGTTAAAACAGTGTAATGTTTTACAAAACATAGTTACCCGATGTACACAGTGTTAAATACTGGGTAAATGCTTACCTGGTAACACAGTGTAATGTTTACACAACATAGTTACCTGGTGTAACAGTGTAATTACGTATTAAATAGTCACCAGATGTACATAGTGTAATGTTATACAACATGGTTCCCTGTTATAACACCATGTGATGTTATACCAACATGGTTACCTGGTGTACACAGTGTAGTACTTGGCTAAATGGTAAACACAGTTACACGTCATACAACATGGTTAGCTGGTATATACACAGTGTAATTTTATTACAACATGGTTACCTGGTGTACACAAATGTGGGAACTGTTCAAAATGGTTACCTTGGTATTAACACATTGTATATTGTAACATAGCCAGCAAGTGTACACATTTTAATTTCTTTTAATACACAAAACTTTTTATTACCTCTAGTGCACATTGTTTTCCCAAAATACTTATTAGTTTTTTCACATTTTTATTTTTTAAAAATTGTTAAAAGTTTGAAACACAGTGTTTTTTTTTAAAATTTAAATATTTTTGCAATTTTAAAGTGTTGTTTGTTAAAATTTAATGCCCTTAATGTACAAATATTTTTGTGCTTCCCTTTGTTTTCCCAAAGGAATTATTACAGGTAAAATTTTTTGATCTTTTTTGTAAACAAAAAACCAATGTAATATTTGGTGCCCTTTGTTGTAGGGCAATGAAACAGAAAAAAAGGCTTTAATATGTTGTAAAAAACGGGAAGTCCCTAAAGTTTCCAGAAAAATTGAAAAATTGGCACGTAAGGGCTTTTTTCATAAAAATTTTTTTTGTGAATCTTTTTGATGTTTGCTTAATTATTTTTTAAATACATTAAACTTTCCCATTTAAGGGTTATCTACCTTCAATTTATGTTAAAACTACTGGGGTTTATTTTTTCAGAGTTCTGTAATTAAATAGTAAAAAAATAAACGGGTTTATTTTGGGTTGATTTTTCATAAAATCCGAAAAAAAGAGAAATTTTTTAAGGGTAAATTTTTGGGAACCTTAAAAAAAGTTAAAATTTTGTATTTAAACAGTTTAAAATTAATTTAAATTTAAAGGGGGTTTTGGTATTAAAAAGGGGTAATGAAAATTATGGAAATTTAAATTTGGAAAAAAAATTTTCCCAAATTAATTTAAAAATTGGCTTTTTTTCATATGAAAAATCTTCTTTTTTAATAAAAAATAAAAGGAAGAAAATAAAATTTTTGAGATAAAAGTGCAAGGGAAATGTAGTTATATTTTGGGTTTTTAAGTTTAAAACCCGGTTCAGTTATCCATGAAAGGTACAGCTAAATTGTAAAATGTTCTTGTGAAACAAAACTTAAAGTGAAGAAGATTGCCAATATGTCATGTTTACAACAAAACAAGTCATTACGAAATATATAAATTGGTACAAGCTTTAAATCGTACAAGCTTCTTTCCTACATGCATGTATATTCAGCGGACATGGAGAAATGATACCGAAATTTGACTTGAATTTTATACGATGTATTGTATATCTGTAGAACTGTGATAGATAAAACCTAGTTTTGTTTTTATATCGCTGCCCACCTCAG